AGTGCAGTGGCACAATTACAGCTCCCTGCAGCCCCGACTTCCCCGGCTCTGGTGATTCTCTCACCTCAGGCTTCCAAGTAGCTGAAACAGGAGCAGGCACCATAACTGTCTTTTTTTTTTTTTTTGTATTTTTAGCAGAGATGGGTTTTACCATGTTGCCCAGGCTGGTCTCAAAGCAATCCACCTGACTTGACCTCTCAAAGTGCTGGGATTACAGGCATGAGCCTCTGTATCCAGGCAGAAAATTGTATTCGTTAGCTCCCCACACACCTCTATAACATTTTCCATAGACTGGCTGTTAACTCTCTATATTCAAATCTTGTTTCTCCTCTACCACCGATGTACTTATAATGTCAAGAGTCATCAAATATACTCACATCACATGTGCCCTCTGGCCCAGCACACTTACAGCCTGAAGCATAGTGATTCGACACAGGGTTAGGAGCATCCCTGGCAGCCATTCCCACCCTGGATGAGGAGGCTAACAACTCAGTATTGGCTGAGTATTGTGGCTCATGCCTGTAATCCTAGCACTTTAGGAAGCCAGGATAGGAGGATCTCTTGAGACCAGCCTGGAAAACATGGTAAGACCCCAATCTCTACAAAAAATAAAAATAAAAAAAAAAAATAGCTGGGTGTGGTGGTGCACACCTGTTGTTCCAGCTACTCTGGAGGCTGCCGTGAGGGGATTGCTTAAGCCCTGGAGGCTGAGGCCGCAGTCTCACCGCTGCACTTCAGCCTGGGGGATAGACAGATCAAGATACTCTGTCTCAAACAAAAATCAAACAAAAAACAAAAAAAAAACCACCAAACCCAAAACCAAAAAACCAGCTCTATATGGAAGTGACTACAAGTCAATCATCTAAATGTATTCCACAAATCCAACTCACCTCCACAGCTAGACCCCTCAAAATGCTCACAGTCACTCCAACACTGGAGGCGAGTGGCAATGTGATGGAGGGGCAGCAGGATCAACCAGAGTAGAAAGAGACTGGTCTTTACCAGTTGCATTGAAACTTTAAATGCCTGTTTTTTTTTTGTTTTGTTTCTTTGAGATGGAGTCTCACGCTGTCGCCTAGCCTGCCTTTTCTCACCACACTTTCTCTCTATGTGCTCCAGTCTTGTAGCACTAAAAGGCATCCATCTCCCAATCACTCTAGCATATTTACTCTCCAGTTCTGATTCCCACACTTGTACACCCCTAGCATATGTGTGACCTCCACTCTGATTTTTTTTTTTTTTTTTTGATGAAGTCTTGCTCTGTCACCCAGGCTGGAGTGAAATGGCGCAGTCTAGGCTCAGTGCAACCTCTGCCTCCTGGGTTCAAGCCATTCTCACAAGTAGCTAGCTGGGACTACAGGTGCACGCCACCACACCCCGCTAATTTTTGTATTTTTAGTAGAGAGGGGGTTTCATCATATTGGCCAGGCTGGTCTCAAACCCCTGACCTCGTGATCCACCTGCCTCAGCCTCCCAAAGTGCTGGGATTACATGTGAGCCATCGCGCCTGGCAAGGATGTCTTAACTAATATGGCTAAAGTATAATGCTTGATTTCTCTTCCGTTTTTTTTTGAGATGGAGTCTGGCTCTGTTGCCCAGGCTGGAGTGCAATGGCAGGATCTTGGCTCACTGCAGCCTCCGCCTCCTGGCCATTCTCCTGCCTCAGCCTCCTGAGTAGCTGGAATTACAGGCGCATGCCCCCACCCCAGCTCATTTTTGTATTTTCGGTAGAGATGGGGTTTTGCTATGTTGGTCAGGCTGGTCTCAAACTCCTGACCTCATGATCCACCCACCTTGGCCTCCCAAAGTGCTAGGATTACAGGTGTGAGCCACTGCGCCCGGCCTTGATTTCTCTTCTTAAACCTCTCCCCTACCCCACAGTTTCCCATCCCAGTTAAAAGCCACCACCACCATCTACCTAGTTACAGTCTTGCGCTGCATAACACCGTTTTGGTCAATGAGGGACTGCATATATCACGGTGGTCTGCTAAGATTATAATGGGGATGGTGGAGTGCAATGGCTCACACCTGTAATCCCAGCACTTTGGGAGGCCAAGGCGGGCAGATCACTTGAGGTCAGGAGATCAAGACCATCCTGGCCAATATGGTGAAATCTAGTCTCTACTAAAATATATATTTTTTAAAAGCCGGGCTTGGGGAGAGCGCCTGTAATCCCAGCTTCTGGGGAGGCTGAGACAGGGGAATCACTTGAACCCAGGAGGAAGAGGTTGCAGTCAGCCATGATGGCGCCACTGCACTCCAGTCTGGCGACACAGTAAGACTCCATCTCAAAAAAATAATAAAATTTAATAAAATAATAAAATGAAATAAAAATAAAATAAAAAATTAGCCGGGTGTGGTGGTGTGCGCCTGTAGTCTGAGCTACTAGGGAGGCTGAGGCAGGAGAATCGGTTGAACCCAGGAGGCGGAGGTTGTAGTGAGCCAAGATCTCATCGCTGCACACCAGCCTGGGTGACAGAGCAAGACTCCGTATATATATATAAAAAAGGCCGGGCATGGTGGCTTACCCCTGTAATTCTAGCACTTTGGGAGGCTGAGGCGGGCGGATTGCCTGAGCTCAGGAGTTCGACACCAGCCTGGGCAACATGGTGAAACCCCATCTCTATTTTAAAATACAAAAAATTAGCCGGGGGTGGCAGCGTGCGCCTGTAGTCCCAGCTACTCGGTAGGCTGAGGCAGGAGAACTGTTTGAACCCGGGAGGGGGAGGTAGAGTTTGCAGTGAGCGGAGATCACATCACTACATTCCAGCCTGGGACGGAGTGAGAATTTTAAAAAGACCGGGCATGATGGCTCACATCTCTAATCCCAACACTTAGGGAGGCCGAGGCAGCCGGATCACGAGGCCAGGAGTTCGAGACCAGGTTGACCAAAATGGTGAAACCCCGTCTCTACTAAAAATACAAAAATTAGCCGGGCATGGTGGCACATGCCTGTAATCCCAGCTCCTCAGGAGGCTGAGACAGGAGAATCGCTTGAACCCAGGACACGGAGGTTGCAGTGAGCCAATATGGGGTCACTGCACTCCAGCCCGGGTGACAGTGTGAGACTCTGTCTCAAAAATATATATATATATAACGGGGCTGAAAAATTCCTATCGCCAAAAGATGGCATAGCTGTCATGACATTGTGGTGCCACCCATTACCTTTTCTATGCTTAGATACACAAACACCATTGTGTTACAGTTGCCTGCAGTTTTCAGTACAGTAGCGTGCTGTAACTGTACAGGTTGGTAACCTAGGAGCACAGTAGGCTGGATGGTATAGCCTAGGTGTGTAGAAGGCTCTACCCTCTAGGTGTGCATCACTACACTCTGTGATGCTTGAATAATGAAATTGCCTAGTGATGCATTTCTTTGAATATATCCACACGTTAGGCAATGCATGACTGTACCTAAGCCAATAATAATCTAGGAGTAACCCCTTCATGTCTTCTCTTCCCACCACCACCTCAAGGCAGTCAGTGCCTAGAAAACTGCTCCAGCCCCCAAAATGTGCCCTCTGTCTTCATTCTCCAAATGTCAGCCAAAGTGATCTTTTAATTTTATCTATTGATCGATCGATCCATCCATCTAGACAGTATCTACCTATCTAGAGTCTTGCTCTGTTGCCCAGGCTGGTGTGCAGTGGCATGATCTTGGCTCACTGCAACCTCCACCTCTCAGGCGCACACCACCACCCCCGGCTAATTTTTTTTTCGTTGAGACAGAGTCTGGGTCTGTCGCCCAAGCTGGGAGTGCAGTGGCGAGACCTCAGCTCACTGCAACGTCTGCCTCCCAGGTGATTCTCCTGCCCCGGCCTCCCAAGTAGCTGGGACTACAGGTGGATACCACCACTCCCAGCTAACTTTTGTACTTTTTGTAGAGACTGGGTTTCACCATGTTGGCCAGGCTGGTCTCGAACTCCTGGGCTCAAGCGTTCCACCTACCTCGGCCTCCCAGAGTGCTGGGATTACAGGCGTGAGCCACCGCGTGTGGCCCAAAGTGATTTTTTAAAACATAAGTCAGATAATATAACTTTCCTGATGAAAATCCTCCACTGGCTTCCAATTGCCCTTAGACTAAAATCCAAACTCCTTCAGTGCTCTCCAAGATCCTATGGGATGGGCCACGCCTAACTCTCCAATCTGATCTCTGCCACTCTGCAAATTCTCCATCCAGGGTTCCCTGGCCCTCTTTCTCCAGCTCCTACCAGCAAATAGCTCTCCTGCCTCAGAGTCTGTCTGTACGTGCAGTTCCTTTTGCCTAGACCCAAGGCTGCTGATTGTGCTGGCATCAAATATCCCCTCTTCATAGAGGCTGTCTCTGGGCACTTACAGTAAAGTAGCCCTTCACTTTCAAGTCCTCGCCACGACCCTTTTATTGTTACTGTTTTCTTACAGCCTTATAATCATCTGAAGCTATCATGTTATTTTCTGCTTTAGTAGTTACTGTCTTTCCCACTGTAACGTAAGCTTCAGGAGGGCCCAGACCCAATGTATTCCTTACAGTACTCGGCACACAGGAGGCACCCCATAAATATGGGCTGACTGAATGAATCCAGCAGCTGCGCACACAGGCATATAGATAGATGCACGGGTTGTTTTACAGTTTCCTTCTGGAGGTCACGATTACTAATTAGAGCTGAGAAGAGATACAATCCAAAGACAGACCCAGACCCTGGAGCAAATGAAACAGGCTGAAAGAAACGGGAGAGACAGCTCCAGGGTGAGTTTCAGAGAGACCCAGATAGACTAAGGTGGAGATCCAGATTCACTCAGCGAACCAGAGCCTGGAGCCCAAGGGCCCCGGCAGGGACAGCGGACAGAGCCAGGAGGAGGCGCGCGGAGGAAGGCGGAGCGCGCCGGAAGGGAGCGGACGGCGGGGAGCCCCGCCGCTCCGCCCCGCCGCCCCGCCCCGCCCAGCTCGCAAGTGGTCGCTGTAGGTGGCTGTGCGCCCGCCTGCCAGCCCTCGGGCCCGACGCGTGCGGGATCAAAGCGGCCGGGAAGGGGCGGGGAGGGGAGGTGGCAGGAACCTGGAGGTGTGAGCGAGCTTCCCAGGGGATGGCAGGAGCGTGGGAGCGCAGAGTCCCGGGACGCGACAGAGACTCGGAGAGACGACGAGAGATACCAGAGACTCTAAAGAGCCAGAGGCGGAGATGCAGACGCCAAGAGACCGGAGAGACGCGGACTCAGAGATGCGAAGACACGAGACCACTGAGACCCAGAGAGACCCAGGGCTGAAGCTTCTGGAGACCTTGAAAGAACGTGAGTGATACAGAGATGGAGAAGCTAAGAGGCACTCAGAGACCCGGAAAGGCGGCGACACAAGAAAGACCCAGACCCACAGACTTAAGAAAAGGAAGCGTACTTGAGAGAGAACGGAAAATAACAGAGGAAGACAGGTGGTAAGAACAAGGGCTTTAGAGTGGGGGGCGGGGAGACCTGGCCCCTCCTCCGCGGGGGCCCGAGAGGACCCCCGGGGTAGGGATCCGAGCACTGCGTCCTTTCTCAGGGTCACGCCTGTGGAGGTGAGGGCTGGGGGCGGAGGGAGGGGTGTGGAGGTTGCAGGAACCCCAGGCTGGGAGGAGGGGAGTGTGAGGGCGTGCGGAAACAGGGTCTAAGCCTGGGTTGCAAACTCTGCTATAGTCAAAAGGCTAAGATTAATATTTGGTAGAAATATTTAAACGAAGATGCTTGTTAGAGATGCTACCAAATGTATTATTCTCTTTTGGGGGAAGAGGAAAGAAAACGAGACTGCTGCATTGGCCGGGAATCGAACCCGGGCCTCCCGCGTGGCAGGCGAGAATTCTACCACTGAACCACCAATGCGCGGCTTGTTGGGCTTGTCACGATCCATCTAAAGTTGTAAGAGGTTGAGGAGAACCCGGCTAGGCAACGGCGGAGGAGGCCAGGGAACTGGTCCCGAATGGTTGACGTGGGTGGAGCGCCAGGTCATTCTTCCTCCCGTCCAGATCCGGCCACCGGGCCATAAAGCTGCCCCATATGGCCAGGGGCGGCCCCACACCCGGGTGCGAACAGCCCGGGCCCCCCAGCCTCGCGTGCAGGTGAGAAAAATTCAGCCCGAGCCCAGGTTCCCAAGGAGGGGGGCGGCGGGGGCTGTTGGGGCCACACATTTGCGCTCCCATTTGGCTGAGGGACGGAGAAGTGGGATGTGCTGGGGCCCCTGGTCCCAAATGGGAGCCCCCTCAAGGTCTGTGCCTCTCCCGGCTCGAGCTTTGGCAAGAAAGGCTCCGTGACAAAAGCAAGGTGCAGAGGGCCGTTGGGAGGGCTTGGAGGAAACCCCACTGGTCTCTGACTGCACAGCTATCTTCCGTCTCGGTCTGCAGCCCTGTCTTTCCATGTCTTTGTCCCTGGCAACTTGGCTGTCCTGTTGAATTTCTGATTTATCTTCTCAGGCACTTTGTCCTGAAGCCCCCGAGTACGGAGGGCCATGCTCTTGGTTTGAGGTGGGTGTTGATTCCTTTTTTGTATCTCTTGCTTTCCCTTTAGTAAAACTGCCTGCTCCCTGCTACCCTCCCGTCACTAGGGACCTCCAGCAGCAAGCAGTGCGGGCACACTTGCGTGAGGTATGCCATCAGTCACACTCCTGAATCTCCTACGACTAGTTTTGAATCAAATACTTGTAAGTGGATAGACCTCTCTACTCTTTGTCTGTGATTCAAAGACTTGCGTCCTCTGCCTTGAAGTTCCCCCCTCAGTCCAGCCATTCTCAAGGAGATCTTTTCCCGGAGCACATACTTCACTGGGCTTCTGTAATAGCTACTTCATGTCACATGGTCTTTTCCACTAGATCCTGCAGGGATAAGCTGGGTCTGTCCTGCATAACTCACTGTGACTCGCCCAAGCCTAGGCTAGTACCCTGTCCGCACAGTGAGAGCGCAGATGTATGGGGACTTGAATGTAACTAACTTAGAACAGAGCGCCTCTCCCACCTTCCGGGAGAGCTTCGGTTGAGTCGGACGGATTCACCCAGCACACTCGGGTTGCTCCCTGTCTCGACTAGGAAGCGAACTTCGGAGAAGATGTATAAACTTCAGCCTGGGGGCCGACAGGTGCTGACTTCTGTTTCAGGGTTAGTGAGGGTACAGTAAGCCTCCAAGAAAGCTACAATTCTGGAGGAACTCTGAATATCATCCCCAAGCGAGCTCTGCCCCTAATAGCCTCCTCTCTTCAGCTGGGTCCTGCCTCCTTATACAGCCTTACGGTCCGTAACCAGCCAGTGCCCCCTTTCGCTTCTCACTTCCCACACTCCCAGGCCAGTTTCTCTCCTTCCCCTCCCCCCTTCACTCCTCCTCTTTCCGGGAGCCTCGTGCCGGGTCCTAGAAGGGCAGAATCCGGGTGTCGAAGGGGGCGGGGTCGGGTCCTATCCCTCCTACTCTGGCGCCGCGGAATATAAGACTCCAGGCGAGCAGGGACCCGGTCCACACGAGGGTCCGGAGGAGCAATGGTCACCCGGGATCGAGCTGAGAACAGGGACGGCCCCAAGGTGAGATGCGGGAGGGGATGGAGCAGAAGTCCCTGGTTTGGCCAGGGGACCGGGGCCCTGACGCCATCGGTCTGGAGAGAGGCTGGGGACGCAGGGCTGGAAGGAGAGCAGTGCTCCAGGACTCCAGGAGCTAGGAGCTGCAGAGAAAGCTGCAAAGTATGAAGAAGGGGACAGGGGTCAGAGCCAGACCTGAGTGGGCGGCGGAAACAGAGGTCTAGGGGCCACGGTGATGGGGATCAGCATCTTGTGGCCTGGAGGGCGTGGGAGGGGGCCGGTGTTGGAGTAAAATAAGCAAGTAGAGGGCAGAGCCAAGGGAGGAGGGTGGGAACGAAAAGAGAAGAGGATAGGCACTTGCTTTACGCTGGTTATGAGCCAGGAGGGGCTGGCCCAAGGCGGTCTTGTAGAGAAGGCCCCGGGGCATTGGTTCCAGAGGCCCCAGACTGATGGAAGATTTTAGGAGAACCAGTCGAGAAGGATGACGGCCTAGACGGTTTTGAGGGAGAAGAGGAGGCACAGTCGCGCTAGGTATCTCCCTTTCTATACTCAGCGCCGCCAGCTCTGAGCCCGGCATCGTGCGGCCCACGTGCCTGCGCGCAGAGGGTCCCCAAAGTTCTCCACTGAGACAGAGAGAGATTGCCCGAGACCGAGACGTAGAGAGGAAAGAGGAGAGACACAGAGAGGGGAGGAGGGAGGACGAGACTGAGAGAGGAGAATGCGAAGACTCGGGGAGGCGAGCTACAGAAACTGATCTGATCTAGGGGCATTGGGAGGGGGAGCGGAGAGGGATTGAATGGAGCCGGCCCTAGGCAATCTGGGGTATGGGGGTCGGGGTGGAAGCCGGGCTCTCCCAGCGGCGGGATCCGACGCCGGCGCGGCTGCGCTGAGTCTCGGTCGGGTCGGCCCGCTCTCCTTTTCCCGCTGGTCCCAGATGCTGAAGCCGCTTGTGGAGAAGCGGCGCCGGGACCGCATCAACCGCAGCCTGGAAGAGCTGAGGCTGCTGCTGCTGGAGCGGACCCGGGACCAGGTCAGTCCCTCCGCTAGCCCCGGGTCCCCAGGCTTCCCGTTTCTGCGTCCCAGGGCTTCCCACTGGGGTGGGGACACATGCTTGGTTGACAACCCTGGTCCCAAGGCATCCTCACCCGAGTCCCGCCTTTGGAATTCCATCCCAGACCCCCACTCGCTCCCAGAACGCGATCTTCTTCGCCACCCCTCGGGTCTGTAAGTTTAACGCCTGGTTCTGTAAATTTCGCTCCGGGGGTCGGTCAGCTTCACCCTGTGGGTCTCTAAATGTCCGCTTCCCCCTCCCCCACACTCCCGGAATCAGCCAGCTTCTGTTCTGTCGGGTGGTTAATTTCATTTCCTGGGTTGCGGTTTCAAATCTTCCTCCTCACGCGTTGGGCATTGGTTCCATCCCCTCGGGTTGGACAATTTCGTCTCAGGGTGGGGCCAGGACCTTCCTTGGTCATCTCCACTCCGCATTTGGCCTCGCGTTGTGTGGGCAAGGCAGTGCGCAAATGCGATCGGGGGCACCCCCCAGCTCCCGCATCCGCCCCTCCCTTCTTCCCCCTGCCACTTTCCCCCTTTCTCCCCACCCCTTTCTGTCTCTGCGCCCTCCCCTCCCGTCTGTAGAACCTCCGGAACCCGAAGCTGGAGAAAGCGGAGATACTGGAGTTCGCCGTGGGCTACTTGAGGGAGCGAAGCCGGGTGGAGCCCCCGGGTACAGCGCGGGGGTGGGGCAGCGGAGGGAGGGAGGGGGGACGCCAGGAGGCTGGCGCCAGGGCAGAGCGGGCGGGCCCTATAGTGAATGGTGGGCTTGGGGAGTGGCCGGTTCTGCTCCGAGGCGAGGTTAATAACACCCGCGCGTGTCTGTCTCTGTCTCCCTCATTTTCTCCCTCTCTCCGTCCATCTGGCTTCCTGTCTCTGTGCGCCTGTCCGGCCTTGGTATCTCTGCGCCCCGCCCCTTCCCTCACCCCTGCTGGGCCCCTGCCCTGCCCACCTGTGCTCCCGTCGGCCGCACCCGCCGCCGCGGCTCCAGGGGTTCCCCGGTCCCCAGTCCAGGACGTCGAGGCGCTCGCCAGCTGCTACTTGTCCGGTTTCCGCGAATGCCTGCTTCGCTTGGCGGCCTTCGCGCACGACGCCAGCCCGGCAGCCCGCGCCCAGCTCTTCTCCGCGCTGCATGGCTACCTGCGCCCCAAACCGCCCCGGCCCGAGCCGGTAGATCCGAGGCCTCCAGCGCCTCGCCCATCCCTGGACCCCGCCGCACCGGCCCTTGGCCCCGCGCTGCACCAGCGCCCCCCAGTGCATCAGGGCCCCCCTAGCCCGCGCTGCGCATGGTCCCCATCCCTCTGCTCCCCCCGCGCCGGGGATTCTGGCGCGCCGGCGCCCCTCACCGGACTGCTGCCGCCGCCACCACCGCCGCCTCACAGACAAGACGGGGCGCCCAAGGCCCCGCCGCCCCCGCCGCCCGCTTTCTGGAGACCTTGGCCCTGAGCCTTGGGGGTGTGGGGGTGTGGGGTCTAGGGGTGGAGTAGAGACTCCAGCCCGAGGGCAGCAGAGGGACCCGGGCGTCCGGAAGAGCAGGAGGGCGGCGGGGCGCGCGGGCTCAGCGCGCGAGTGAGATGTGGTCTATATTAGAGTGTCTATATAAATATATATTTCCCTGGTTCCTGTCCCTTTTCCCTGCCCTAACTTCTCCCTTGCGTCTAGGATTGTACTCTCTCTGCCCCCAGCCCAGTCCTAGTCCCTTCCCGAGTCCCTAGTGCATGGAATAAAGTGGTTATTAAATCCCCGTGTGTCCCGGAGCCAGGGGCCTGCCTTTATCTCGACGTCCACGCCCACTTTCCCTTCCCTTCTGTCTCCCACCCTCAGTCCTGCTCTCCATGGCCCAAGCCCCGGGGCAGACAGGTAAGTAAAGAAGAGAGCAGAGGGGGGACTGAGATCGAAATTGAAACCAGGTGGAAAAAGAGAGAGATAGGGTAGGGGGAGAAGGGATGGCGGCCTTTGAGCAAAAAACGGAAAAAAAAGAAAAATTGAAATAAAATCGACTCTGGTGGGATTCGAACCCACAACCTTTGAATTGCTCCATTCGTCACTAGAAGTCCAATGCGCTATCCATTGCGCCACAGAGCCAACCGGCAGTCGGCGGCGTTTTGTAGCTTACGGGTACTAGAATAGGAAAGGGCAGGGTGGGGGAGTGGGGGTAAGGGACTTGGGTGGGACGTGCCAGGAGCGCGCGGTTTGGATCTCAGAGGCCAAACCAGGTAGAGGTAGCGAGCGCAAAGCAGGTTAGCCAGGTGAAAGAGAGGGCGCATATAGGTCGAAAAAATAGGGAGGTAGAGCACCCGAAAATGAGTGAGCGAGCGAGTGTAGAGCTCCGGCTGCCCACTTGGGGGGGTGCTTCCGGCTCAGGCGCACCCCACTCCCAGATGTAGTCTCACCCAAATAAACTAGTTTTGTTGTAAATTTCAGTGTGTTTCTGTCTCTTCTTGTTTATCTGTTCTGGCATCTGCTGCTATGCGATCCAGAGTCTCAATGGTTCCCCGTCTGAAAAATGTGGAAAAGGAGATGGATCAAATTTGGCAGTATCCGCTTAGCCCCACTCCTTACTTCTAGTCTCTTAGGAGGACAACGGGAAAATTATCTTTCACGCAGGTAGCGTGGCCGAGCGGTCTAAGGCGCTGGATTTAGGCTCCAGTCTCTTCGGAGGCGTGGGTTCGAATCCCACCGCTGCCAGGCTGGAGTTTTTCTCGTGGATAAAGCACGTGATATAATTCCATTAGGTTTTACTAACTACTATTTATACATGCAGCATGTAATTTTATGAATTTCCCTGGAAATTGTTTCACCATCATCTTCTGCGTTTGGTCTTCTAGGCACATGTATGCCTGCTTCCATCCCTAAAGCTAAGACCTGAGAGTAACTGCTGAAACATTTCGTTTCTTCATAACATCTCTATTTTAACATGTTTTCAAATGTTAGCTCAACTTACAACATATTTAAATACTTTATTGTATGTTCTCATAACACTGTGCTATAGGGCCCAATTACCTGGTATGAAAAGCACAAAGAATTGGTAGTGTCCGAGTTTACTTTTTTTTCCCGGATTCTCTTGGGTCATAGGCGTTATCTTCTGTGTGAAAATCAACTAATAGTGTGCAACAGCTTACTGGTATTCAAAAACTCTAAGGTTCCACCGAGATTTGAACTCGGATCGCTGGATTCAGAGTCCAGAGTGCTAACCATTACACCATGGAACCTCCTTGCTCATTATTTTCGAGATTATGTACATTACTGGAGTTTCTATTCTGCGCATCTTCCATAGCCTCCACTTCAAAACAAAATCTGCTGTTGGATATGATAGACACTGTTATCTAGCATTTGAAATATATACATTCAGATGTATCGCCAGCTTCTAAATACACATCTTCTTTGGAAGGCTTTGTACGAACAAAAAGACTTAAAATTTCATTAATAAGTAAAAAATGTTGATTATATTAGGTTAAGTAAAATAGATCCGTCAAATTAATTTTGTTTCTTTTAACTCCTTGTAGTGTGGCTACCAGAAAAATTAAATTCGAAGATACAGCTTTAAAGTATATTTATTACCCTCCACCGTCATTTGCTCTATTTTGTGGAAACCAAGTTTCAGTCTCACTTAATTTTAAAAAGCAGTAACCTTTTTTATTACCGTTTTCCATTGTTTCATGCGAAGGAGTGCGGTAATCCAAAAGCGAAAAAGGAAGCGCCCGAACAGGGACTTGAACCCTGGACCCTCAGATTAAAAGTCTGATGCTCTACCGACTGAGCTATCCGGGCTCTACTCTCAGGTTTTGCTCCTTGCCTATAAGAGAGTTCTCTGTATGAAAATCCAGGCTTGTAGAACTGAGAGAGGATTGTGTATATCTAAGCAGATTATTCTGGCACAGATTCAGAGTCAGCGAGTGAAGCCCGCCTGCTGCTGATTGTGCATTCTCTGACTCCCATCTTTAGAGCCCCAGCCTAGGCTGGGACGCAGGGACTGGAGAATTGTGGCGGCTGGAACCGTGCGGCTCCAGAACTGGCCGCGCGGGGCCGCCGCGGGCTATTGGGCTTCCCTCTCCTAGAGGTTCATCCCCAGCCACTTGTGGCCCAGATCCCGGACACCCGGGCTCCTGCCCAGGGTCCCGCAGGTTCAGGGCGGTATGGAGAGGAAAGAATGACACGCGGGGCCTTCAGATGCTGCGTGTCGGCGCTGTATTTCGTCTTCCTGACTGGCTCTACTCCAGAGCACAGACTGAGGTCGGGCGTGCCAAAGGCTGAGGACAAAGAGGGTCAAGTGTGGGGGGATCGGTGTATGGGGTGACAGGGGCTCTGAGTGCGCGACTCACCTGCGTGTGGCTGTAGTCGCCTGTGATTTATGACTGACTGCAGCTCTCCACTGTTCAGTGATTCACACGGATGATTCACAGGTAGGAATGCATGTGCCCTGTGCTCAGCTCCGCCTGGGAAAAGGGAGGAGCGGGTCTTGGGGGACACTGGGGAGTGGGCGGACAAGCACTGTAGGGCATCAATCCGGGCCACTGACCAGGCGGAGGGCAGTGTCCCAATTATACAGGCGTCACCTCTTCCTTGTCTCTGTCTCAGCAGCGGGGTCCTCCCTCCGCAGTGGAACCCAGGCTCTTGATATCCATCTGGGTGAGCCAGCCAGAGGGACTGGCTGTGTCGGAGGCAAGCAAACAAGTATTAGAGTGCAAGAGTGTGGGCGGGGAGAGGGAGCCCGAGCCTCCAGCAGGGAGTTTCGGAGAGAGCCCAGGAACATCCCGGAGAGAGCTGGGCCCTTTCTCAGCCCTATCCTACCCCGCAGCCCCTAGCCCTCCACCCAGAAGCCCAGCAGTGTCCGACCCGCCGCTCTCCTCCTCCAGGCCGGCTGCTGCTGTGGCCAGCGTTGCCGGGGGCAGCACTTCCTCCCTCCCATCATGGCAGTGTACCGCCTGTGTGTGACCACTGGTCCCTACCTGAAGGCCGGCACACTGGACAACATCTCTGTCACACTGGTGGGCACGTGTGGTGAGAGCCCCAAGCAGCGGCTAGATCGAATGGGCAGGGACTTCGCCCCGGGGTCGGTGAGTACAAAGGAGAGAGGGAAACGCGACCTCTGAGGGGCGGGGCCCGTAGGGGAAACCGAGGCAGGAGGAGCATTCCTCCTAGACTGGTGCTATTCTCTGAACTCGGGATACTGGCCCTGACCTCCCGACCTTCCCCATCGAGGTTCCTGTCTTTTCTGGAGATGATAAACTCCATCCAGGAAGGACTGTGGAGAGGAAGGAGGGTTGGGCGGAGAGTAGAGAGACTCTCTGTCTTCTAAACTCCTCCCGTAATTGACAGTGGGCTTTGGGCAAGTTGCTTCTCCTCTCTGAGCCTGGATTTCCTCTTACCTGGAGGGGGGATCTGCCTGCCTCTGCCAGCCCTGAAGGCCCCAGATGGCCTTCACAAGGGTTCCCAGCCCTCCTAGGAAGCTAGTGAAATGCAGTACCCATTGTGCTCAGGCACCTTTTTCTCTTTCTTTTTTTCTTTTTTTTTGAGATGGAGCTTCGCTCCTGTTGCCCAGGCTGGAGTGCAGTGGCTTGATCTCAGCTTGCTACAACCTTCACCTCTCAGGTTCAAGCGGTTCTTCTGCCTGTGCCTCCTGAGTAGCTGGGATTTCAGGTGCCCCCACCACGGCGGACTAATTTTTTGTATTTTTAGTAGAGACGGGGTTTCATCATGTCTGCCAGGCTGGTCTCAAACTCCTAACCTCAGGTGATCCTCCCGCCTCGGCCTCCCAAAGTATTGGGATTACAGACGGAGCCACCCGCTCCATGTCCAGGCACCTTTTTCTAATTCATAGAAAAGCCCGGTGTGGGCTGGCAGCAGATCAGGTTTGTGTGTTCGAATAGGCTTAGGTGTAGAGCACCTTGCAAGATGCAAGGACCGCCTTGGCAGTTTCCCGCCTCTCACCTGCTTGCTCTCTTGGTCCCCTCAGGTACAGAAGTACAAGGTCCGCTGCTCAGCGGAGCTGGGTGAGCTCTTGATGCTGCGTGTACACAAGGAGCGCTATGCTTTCTTCCGCAAGGACTCTTGGTACTGCAGCCGCATCTGTGTCACCGAACCGGATGGTACGGTGTCCCATTTCCCCTGCTATCAGTGGATTGAGGGCTACTGCACCGTGGAGCTGCGGCCAGGAACAGGTGGGCAGGGACGAGGGCTGTGCTGTACTGCAGAAGGTGTCTTTTGGGATTCGGAGTGGGGTCTCACAGAGCCCCTGAGTGAAGGGAATAAGATTGGGGTCAGAAACTCTGGGGTCTCAAGTAGATGTTTTCTGAAACAAACAAAAACAACAACTGAAATCGGATCACCTGAAATTGGGAGTTCGAGACCACCCTGACCAACATGGAGAAACCCCATCTCTACTAAAAATACAAAATTAGCCAGGCATGGTGGCCTATGCCTGTAATCCAGCTGCTCCAGAGGCTGAGGCAGGATAATTGCTTGAACCTGGGAGGTGGAGGCTGGAGGCTGCGGTGAGCCGAGATGGCGCCATTGCACTCCAGCCTGGGCTACAAGAGCCAAAACTCCATCTCAAAAAAAAAAAAAAAAAAAGAAAAAAGAAAAAAAGTGAGCCTCTCAAGCCCTGAAATGCGAGGGCTTTCCAGACGATATTAACTCCTCTGGAGACTCACACAGACACACACACTCATGTAGGCATGTGCCCTTCTCTCATACACACAGGAAGCACTTTGCTTTCCACAGCCTCCCTCTGCTCTTCTCCAGAGTCAGTTCCTCTGGACCCCAGAGAGTAACTAAACTGCAAGCTGAGTAATTTGATTTTAACAGGTAGAGAAGCCCTGACTGCTTAGAGAGTTTAGCTGGAGAGGCCCTGTTCCCTCCCATACTCCTAAATTTTCTAGTGTGGATGAGTCCCTGTGAGGTGCTGTTAGGTTCCTTGTTGAATTTGTGGGGCCCTCCTTGGATGCTGGGCTTGAGATCCTTCAGTCTCCAGAGCTATCTGATCTGGAGAGCCAACAGTAGGGCTGCTCTGGGTGTTGGGAGGAGGCTCAGGATGAAGGATGGATATTCTAGGTCAAAGTAAGGCAAGTGAACATTACCCCATGGCCCATAATGAGCTTTCCATAGACCTCAGTATAAATAAGCCCTCAGCACTTCCATCCATCATCACAGCACATCCATCTATAGCTTCACAAAACATATTTGTTCATCAGTCATTTACAAAATGCATGTTATATACATGGTGCCAGGCGCCATGCTAGAAGCTGGGAATACAGAGGGAAAAAAAAGATATAAGACGACTTCTGCCCTCAAGGAGTTTATAGTCTGGAGAGGAGATAAACATGCCAAGGATTAAGAAGGTTGTTATAATTTGGGGTGAGTCTGTCTTGAATCCCTTCTACTGATGGATACGCAAAAGATGTGGGGGCATTGCCATG